TCATCACGATATCTCTGGAACCATTAGAGCTAAAGACTAAAGAAGAGGGCTAAAGAAATTTGGTAGGAATATTCTTTTCACCGAGTAGAGGTCAGCTAAGAACGGATTTTACGAAATTCCACCCCCAGAGGGCTGTGCGGGGGGGTTGAAAATTAAAAATTTTTTTTTTGGCAAAACAACGTTTGCAGGGTCAGCTAGTATATAATATATCTCATACATCTCAAACACGGCCGTCTGATCCCAAACTAGGCAGAGCCTGTACTATGGTAACCAGACTGCTGATAAACATACTTATAAATTTTTAAATAGATACACATTATAGATAAATTAACACAGACACAGAACAAATGACCGTGCTCATCACACAATATTTGTCCTGAGTGGGAATCGAACCCACGACCTCCGGTTTAGCAGTCAAGGTCACTAACCACTAGACCAACAGGCCAACCATTATGCAATAGTTATTTTCTTGCATAAACTATCCTCTTGTACAATTTATCTGTAAAAAAATCTCAGTATTTCAAACCTGTCAGGCATTCTTTTGATCAATTTCTTAAACGTAATAATATTTACTTGTTAGATATTAGTGGTAAACATGAAATGAAAACAAAAAGAGTTGACAGTAAAGCAATAATTAATTTAAGTGTTCACGACACGTGACGTTTTCTAAATATAATGGTTATTCCTTTATTGATCTTGATAACGGTTGCATATATTATTTACTTTTTTGGCACGACAATTTAAAAAGATTATACATCATAGGTAATCTCTTAAATACCTACTAAGTGATACATGAAAAAATGTGGTTGTACCACAGCAGTTTTTCTACATTAACTAAAGAAAGACAAAAAAACTCATATTGTTACTTTATATAAGATACAAATTACAATACAATAAAAGCTGGCAACAATCGTCTTCATCATCATCAGTACTTAGTAGTCCACTACTAAGACACAGGCCTCTCCTTAGACCGGAGGTTTTGGCCTACTATACAACCCTGGCCAGAAGGATTGCAATTGGGTTTCTTCTCATTGCAGTACTGTTATCAGCGTGGTTTACTTCTTTATTGGCTTTTACGACACCCACGGGATGAATAGAAATAGAGACACTCCGAATTTTTAATCCGTCACCACACATACGATAGACACGACGGACATAGCTGAAGACAATATTTCTGCTATAATTCGTGACATAGAAGTTTGAGAATAAAAGAAAACACAGTCATTTGTGTTTCAACAAATATAATTTATTAAAGCAGTGGCAGTGTAATGGCGGCAAATTAACGTGACTGATTGTTATATATCCCTGACAAGTCATAGGTGCTCATTTAGACCTATTTACGACAAGTGCGGCATTTTCAACGATGGACACAGAAGTGCCGATTCGTTTCAATGTTCACGGATTATTAAAGCCATATTAAATATTGCCAATATACCTTTCAATAATTTAAATAAAAAACGAATACTGTTTACTACTACTATAATACTTCTTGCACTTTATGTCCATAACTAATAAAAACATAGCTGAAATAAATGTAAACTTAATATATTAATTTATTATGACTAAATCGATGTTTGCCTAAGAACCTTTGCAATTTTTTGTTTCCATTACAATAATTATAAAAAACTCTAAAAATCTTTACTCAATTTAAGCCAATAAAAGCTGAAGAAACTAACACAAAGGGTGTGTAGCGACAAATGGTCGGCTGTCGTTCGTTCGATGTAAGGAATGAGCCCCGTTAGATAAGAGAACGGGGCGCACTCACGGGGATAACAGACCAATGAATGGGGAGAATAGACCACCTATTTTTATAAAGCGAATAACTTTGCGAAACGATAAATAGAGCTATTTCCTTGAAACAGAAGTTTGCAGTTTTGAATTTATTTTTAACATACTTGTACGTATATTATGTAAATTAGTCTAAGAACAAAGCCGTTATTAAACGCTGGATTTATCAATTTAATTAAATGCGACTGCACGGATGGCGAAGTGGTTTAAGTGGTCACCACGCCGCTTACTACTAAGATGCTTTCCCCACATGGGATGACACTTTGTGTTATCCACGAATTGTTGTTCTGAGTTTGGGTATTCTGTGTATTCGTTTCGTTTTAAAAAATGAGCTTATTAAGAGCAAACAATAAACAGTGCTAAGAAAATAGTTCAAGAATTTTATGTATCCTAATTAAGTCAGTTACGTTTTAAGGTGTGATGTAATTTTTTTCTTTTTTATATGTGATATACTTAAGTAGTTATAGTGACGCATGTATGTATATATATGTATATTTGTTGGTAAAAATAAGTATGTGTTTTATATGTATAGAATTAAATATATTTATAAAAGGCCTTCTCAATAAGTAGAGGCCTATGTCCAGCAGTGGACTTTTACAGGCTGTTGATTACATATATCTAATTATTAATATAAATATTCATTAGCAATTAACCTTTCAAATCACATTGCACCGTACTACTGTCTCTCCGAAACATTTTATCCATCCTAAGGTTGGAATCCTAGAAGAGATTGCTCTTAGCCATAAGGTCGCCCTTTGTTCATTACTTAACTGTCATTTTTATGTCCACTATTATTTGGTAAAACGATATAGAAATAAAAAGTTTTCTATTTATTTATCAATGTATTTTGAATCAGTACATTTCAAAATACCCTTTAATGAAATACTGGCTGTACCCTGCCAAGCTTCGCTGTGACACACTGATGATGCTTGGATGAAATAAGGAAGCAACATTGACGCGAAAAATGGTTAAAAACAATCATTTAAGCTTTTTGTATATCAGAGGCGGATTAGGTATCACGAGCGCCTAAGGAAAGCATCTCATCGGCGCCTCCTGTTAGTGGTAACTCCAAATTTTAGTTGGCATTTTTTTTTATAATTTTTTTTAAAATATTTTTGTGGAAACCCCCATAGCTGTCACTTCACCGGGGTTTATTTTAGCACGGTGTATGGGAATCGAACCAACTAAACACACAGATATATAAACTGCGCCTAAAATAGGAGACATCCGAAAACAGCTTCCATGACAACGTTCGGACCTGCCGTATTTTTTTTTTTTTGGTGGGTGATGGCCAACAGGACTTATGCAGAACGGCGGTTATTCAGCGATCTGCGATGCCTGAGCCGGCTCCAGAACCTGGCCCGTTCCCTCGTCTGGCGCACCAGAAAAGTTCTGAGCCTCTTCAGATCACGCTCTGACCTCTCCTTCTCGAGCATAAATTGCGTACTGGAATAGGTGACGGAGATCCAGAGCGCTCTCTCTTCGTACTATGGCCGCAATCATGGTACCGAGTTCGGAATCCTCACTCCAATGGCCATAGGCATGGCCCCACACACGCCGGGCATTCTAGCAGCGTGTCTCGCAGCGTGTCACAGCTCGGGCCACTGCAAGGGTGGCACCCAGGCGTTGGTTCCTTGCGGATCCGACAAAGGTGACCTCCTGCGTCTGCCGGTACGAGAGGTTCCCGTGTTTTCTCTCGACCCAATCCTCCATAAGGGGTCTTACCGCCGCTATAATGGCGCGCTCAGTCTTTCTTGCCCGTAATTGCTCAAGTTTTTCTCTCCTGCTCCACTGCGAAGTACCCAGTCGTAACCGATGTTCTACAGGAACGGCCCTAACACCGACCCCTGCGACACACCGCACGACATTTCACGCCGACCGAGACAAGTCTAATCTTTTGCCCCTTATGTAATAAAAATAATAATATAGCTCTTCAATGTTGTTGTTCTCTTCAATGTTGGTGAAAGATGACAGATGATGCAAAGAAAAAGTCTCTATGTTATTAAAAAGAGATTTCTCATTTTCATATCTATTCTTTCATAAACTACATCGGATAATTCTTAGAAATTACTTCATTTGAAGACATAGGGCGGAGGTTCGTAGGGTTTCATATAAATTCGTACAATTTGTTATACGGATGACATCATTAACCTTAAATACGGGGGAGCAAATTTTATATACTGATACGCCATGTAGGAGGAGAATATTTTTGGATGTGAAACGAGCAAACAATTACTATCGATCAGAGTACATGTTTAAAAGACTTAACATAAACACTATAGATATTTATAAATGTGAAAGTGAGTTTTTTTGTTTATTTATTTGTTTGTTCGTTTGTTATGCTTTCATTCCTAAACCACTAAACTGATTATAAAAAAATCTTTCACAAATGGAAAGCTACATTATCAGTGAGTAACACAGGATACTTTTTACCGCGATGTCGGTTGAAAAGCCAGTATATATATAATTCGTGAAATGACAGCCTTGCTTTTATTATATTTACAAGAGTATTTTCACACAAAATAATTTGCATGCTTGTTTATTCTAATCTTCGATTTTTGTTTTATTGTGTACTTTAAAATTGCAATTCCCGATTGGGTAACTGTTGAAACTTTACTTACTATAAAACATAGATGTTAAAAACTGTGTTACAAAATATAGATTGATTCAATAGTTTTTTGCAATAAATGTCTTCGGCATTATCACCGTCATTTCAGCAACAATCCTGTTGCTGAAATGACGGTGTAATGCCCACTGCATGAAATGATCCCTTGATGACTTCCGAGAATATTGGTAACGTACGAATTTTACAAGGTCTTCGTTTCACCTTATTCATGGACGCTCTCCGTTCTCAAACTTTTCTGCCACATGAATAATTGTTTATTTTAAATATCCTCCTATCTTAATATTTCTAACAGTAACAATGAAAAATAAGCACATGCATTTGAAACAAACTAATAAATAACGAAACTATCTTTATCTAATCTGCGCTTTTAGCCTACCCAAATACAGTCAAGCTAAATATAAATTTATTTAGGAATAATATGATTCAATTTTCTTTGTGCAAGACTAGATTGTCGCTTATCATGTAATAAATAATACTGATAGCGTTGTCGATAAAGATAAACGTATTTTTTCTAGTAAAGTATTCGTTAATACGGAATTGAAAGTGAAACTTGTGTGCATCGAAATCGATAAACAAAAAGATCAAAATGACCTGCAGAAATTATCTAGAGAAGACTTTGGCGTGGATGTTGAATAACAAGATAATAGTGTTTCTATCACTATTATCATTTTGTCTGTTTGTGTCGACGTTAGCCTTAGCTGGACAAAGAAATCGGGCTCTGAGTGAACTAGAAGAGTTACAAAACAGCTTAACCACTGAAGCTTCTACTACGCCAGATCCTACAACTACTGTAATAAGTCCTGAAAAGCAAGAGAATCAACCACCGGTATCGTTTGATAGCAAAATGTTTCAACTTCTAGGTGCTGCATAGCGTGTGTTAATTGTATAAAATAAGGTGTTCAGTGTCAGATTCCTTTATTTATCAGAAGATCAGTTACTTAAACAGATTAGCACTTTGGATTTCATCATTTGAGTTGAATTGGTTTGAATGTACATTATTTCTGTGGTATGTCAGCCATTCCTGTTTTTGTGTTTTGTATTTTTTTAAACCATGTTAATTAAAAATTGGAGTAAACTAACGTTTAAACAAAAATATATTAGACATACCATTTATTTTAATAATATAGGTCATAAAAAGAGACACGAAGACATTATGTGACTCTGTCCTAAATAATATAAATAATATAAAATCGACTTAAGAGATAAGACTAAGTGGTGCTAATTCTGTTGTTCGAAAACTCTCTAAACTAAACTAAAAATCACAAAAAAAAATTTTGGTCTGTCAAATATTACGTTTTCAGAATAGAAAACGTTCTTTGACAGAACTAAACAAATTTTTAGTGATTTTTAGTTTAGTTTAGAGAGTTTTCGAACAACAGAATTAGCACCATTATATATCCATTGCCTTAGTAATATAGAGCTATGTTAAATATCACAGTTGTGTAGAATTTTCGAAAACCGTAGCTTCATTATATTATTATCTTGATCCCTTATATGTGACCAATGCGCTGGTGATAGTAATGATAAATTGTATTTTAAGCCCAATAATCCCAGTATCATAATCGATTCTATAGATAACGTATAAAATTTAATAAATGTGTATTTGTTAGTATATTAAATTTTATAATAAAATCATTAATTTTTTTGTTCTAATTGTATTATTTATACACACACTTAGTCATTATTACGTAGTCATATTTACCACGTAATTATCAATAACTGGATTTAGAGTATTGAATGTTTTGTTGTTGTATGCTGTATGTGTAATCCCAAATTAGAACAAACCCATGGTATGGTAACAGACTGCTATATACGAGTAGTTCATATGTATTAAGAAATAATTCGTGTGGTGACGGATTAGGAATACGGAGTGTCGCCACCCCTAAGGGGCAAACTACGCAGGACAACAGTACTACAAAGAGAAGGAAAACTTGACACAAACCCTGTACCAACCCGTCTGGCTAGCGTGATAAAGTAGGCCAAAACCTCCTTTCTAAGGAGAGGCCTATGTCCAGCAGTGGACTATTAAAGGCTGCTGATGTGTATGATGACGATGAAGATAGAAATACATGCCTATTAAAAAATAAATTAAAACCAGATACAAAACAAATGTCAGGCTCGTCACACAATTGTTTTACAAAATAGGTGAGGAAAGAATATATGGCTTTCCAAGACAGAAGCGCCGCGGTGTCACTCCGAGCGAGCCTGCATAGCTCTCCCACCATCATGAGTGTTAGCAACACACAAATAATACTATCGCACAGTCAGCAAAGCAATTACTGTTATCATGATAAGAATATCGAAGGACATAATTTGTGATACTTTTCGACGTCACTAATCACTTGATTTTTAGGGTTGAGTTCCGCAGAAGGAAGACTAAAACCCTAACAGAAACACTCTGCTCGTCTGACTCCTTGCGTGCCAGTCTGAAGGTATCAAGTTGAAATTAACATAAAATACGTCAGCAGTCCCTTAAGGCTGTAAAATTTAAGGTTTCTAATTAAACTATTTAACTGTGCCACCTGTGTTCCAACCTGTGGAACAAGTTATCAGCTGCGGATTTCCATCTAACCAAATCTGTCCACCTGATGGAAAGCGAAGACCGCCGCCCATAAACGCCTGCAATTTAGAAGTCACAAGCGCCTTGACGGCCTTTGAGGGTATACTCTTTTCTGGAAATACCGCAGACGATAACTTGTTCCACAGATTGGTAGTGTGAGCAAAAAGAGACTTAAAAAGCCCAGAGTAGTGGAGTGCCAATTATCGAAGTGATGGGGATAAAGACTTTGTCGTGTGGAATGATGGCGATAAGTTGTATAATACCACTGAATAATATATTTTAAATATACCACAAATATATCTTGTTAAAAAAACATATATAGATAGGATGCTCAGTATGTTCTAACATACACACGCCGGCAGAGTTAGCGGAACACAAAAAAAAAAGGAAGAATTAATTCATTTTTTTCGTAACACTGGCCGGTTACATTTTTTTTTAATTTTAGATAGATAGATAGGTAGATATATAGGTACTCTTTACTGCACATCATAATTAGAATACATGCGATGATACATACAAAAAAAAAACAGTGATACAATGGGCGGCCTTATCGCAGCCTGCGATCTCTTCCAGGCAACCTTTAGATGGACTACTCGTATACTATATAGTAATATGTAACGTGTGGTGCGCATTTACAACTTCCGTATATTAACGAATGATTACATACATAATTACACATACACGAGTATACATTAATATACTTACATACATATATAAATATGAATACATACGTAAACTTACATACACATACCGATATAGCACATAGTTATTACAGAGATAAATAGTGTTATTTAACGAGTTCTTTAAAAGTACCTACTGACTTTGACTGCCTTATAGCTTCCTGTAATGGATTCCAGAGGCGTGTTGCCTTCACCGTAAAAGACGTATCAACTGACAACTATCCGCTGCTATCAGGGAAATTATGAGAAACAGCTAAACAAAGATATTCACTTCCTTGTAGCCGCTCTTCTGGTCTTTGAGCCCTCATTTTTATGGGTGGTTGGCTCAACTCTCGTCGTGCCTTCAGAGATAACTGGAGCGAGCTTCACTAAGTCATCTCGTGAGCTTACCTTATGCTGCTCCCTAGCTGCCGCCTAACATTTAGCAATACCAAACATCTCTCTGGCGGCCAGGAATAGGTCATGCTGCGGTTTTGTTAGAAATTCAGACAAAGTGATGCCTGAACCCTTGAGATAGATAGATAGATAGATAAATACTTTATTTGTACACCAATGTTTTACAGACATTATACAGTAATTAACGACCGATGTAATGTACAAAGGGCGGCCTTATCGCTTAGTGCAATTTCTTTCAGGCAACCTTTGGATGGATTCATTTTGAAATGGTGATAGGTATACATAAATTAGAGAAGTAAATAAGGTCTTAACCTATAAAATATTTTTTATGCATAAATACTACTAATCTATATTTTTTTTTTTTTTTTTTTTTTTTTTTTTTAAAAAGACAACTCCCGCATTAGGAATAAATCCTGTGTCGCGGGGGACTTTACAAACATACATGAAACGGACACAAAGAACACCCAGACTCAGAACAACAATTTGTGGATCACACAAAGTGTCGTCCCATGTGGGGTTTGAACCCACAACACTCGGCGTAGTAGGAAGCGGCGTGGCGACCGCTTAAACCACTACGCCATCCGTGCAGTCACATATATTTATACATAAATACTATACATACATACGTTAATATATAAATACGCTAATTTTCAACTATTAGAGACAGATAATGCTCATATTGCATAGTCTTGAAGGTGGTTACGGATTGCGCACGTCTGATAGTAATTTTAGCAGACATTATGGGACTCCCAATGATGCATACCTGTGATTTTGTGGGATTAATTTTGAGTCCATAGTCGTTACTCCAAGCACTTATGTGCTCTAGATCTGCATTAATAATATTAAGCGCAGTCGATAACATACTGACAGGTGCATCGGTGTATATCTGTAAATCATCAGCATACAGGTGGTAGGATGAAAGTAAATGATTGGAAATAGAATTAATAAAAATTGCGAAGAGTAATGGAGATAGAACGCCACCCTGTGGGACACCGACTTGAGTTTGGTTTTTGGAAACTACACCTTATCTCGGAGAGATGTATGTTGCAGCTTGATAAGAATTGGGCGGTGTTTGTATGAAGCTGTAGGTCTACCGAGGCAATGACAACACTTTATGCCATCTATTGAGAAATCCTCAACTGTAAGCTGAGTCTGTATGTTATTTTGGGCTTTAAGTGCAAGGTCTTCTTTCTTTTCTTATTCAACTCCATGGATTAGAAAAATTTTCCTTGGCCCTTGCATCTCCAATTGATCCATGATGCATACCAATGACTTAACTTGTTGCTGTAGACACTTTGTAACAGTTATTTTTTTTGTGCATTTGTGATAGTACGATATTGATAAAAGCGGCACCTGTTTGGCCGCATCGCTTTGTTGTTGATTTATCTAAAGTAGTTTGTAGCTACGGTATTGATCTCCTTTGTTCACTTTCGGACCACTAGATAGCGTTGGTTTGAGACATAATAGATTGATAAAAAGACTTCCTTTTTTAATCTGTTTTGTTATTCTGTCATGTCAAATTGTATAGGTGTTGAGAGTGTTCAGCTAGGGTGGAAAGCAAGTTACTTTTGATTTTGTTAGCGTTGTTTTCTTTCTCAATGTAAATGTCAAAGTGAAATGATGAGGAGGGGTTAACTTCTGGAAGATTCCTGAACCGAGGATATATAGGTCCGGCTTTCTGCCACGGGAGACACTCTGCTATCTCGTGTCTTCCAACCTTAAATAGTGTTTTGATTGTCGTGTAATTTGAATTTCGTAATATGTAGTCTGTTATAATCTACCCACTAATGTGGTGAGTATTCTCTCAATTCTTCTTAAACCTATTTGTTTCTGGAACCTGTTTAATTTATATGAGTGCTAATCCATTCGTAGGGTCCCAGATTTCGGGCTCAAGACGGTCAGTCTCAGACGGCGTGCTTGCTCTTTTGTGGCCTTCTGGTACAGACTCAAGTTTCTCGGTACCCTCTGGCAAAGCTGGTGATTGCGCGGCTCACGACGCAAGCGGACAGCCGTACCCAAGAGTTACGTACTTAAACTTATAATTGTAATTTGTTCCGTATCTAATATAAATAGCCGACTCGGGCGGAAGAGGAAGTAACCTCCTGGAGGGACGACGAGGAGGCACCGAGCACCATCAGCTCGGCTCTGACGCGCTCCGCTGCGGTTTTTTTTTTATACCCTCTGTTTTTTTTTTTATTGTAAATTTAATTTTGTTTTGAAATATACATGTATGTA